ATAATATTCTCGTGTTTCAACACAAAACCAAAAAAATTCTATTATGATAAAGTGATAAATATCTTTCGAATTTAATTTTCAGTACTTGTATATTATACCTCCAATTTTGTCATAAAGGCATCAACAAACGACGCACCACGTAGCCAACAGTGGCAAACTATTCCCAATATTGTTGTAATACAACAGTAGCAAGAACATTTAGCGACGTTTCGTACATTGGCGACATCTTTTGAGTTGGCCAAATTGATCAACGGAACTTGTATATTAAATACCGAATTTTTTTATATGTAACGACATAACTTCAATCTGTCATGAACACATTTATGTCAAATTAAGGTCGCAAACATGGTTTTTGGTATAATTCTAAATTGTTATTAGTATAATTTTATACGTATTAAAAAGAAAGTGTAATACAACGTCAAACTTCAGCTTAGGAAAATAAGTTGCTTAACATCTGGTATTTTTGCCTACATTTTTGTGAATATTGCATTAAAACACGTTAGCCTGTTAGCAGTGAGAATGAGTTCTCGTAAGCGTTTAGATGATTCCTTGATATGGTGAGCCGTTGGCAGGCTTGAAGTTGGCCAGTCTCAAGCAGACGTGACTAGACTATTACAAATGGAACCAAAAGTGATCTTCCGACTGTTGAATAAGTTCTAAACAAGTAGTACTGTCGCCAGGAAAATCGGCCACAGCCACCACAGAACAACGTTCTAAGAGAACAAACCTTTACATCTTTCTTGAATGTGCTCATTGAACTAAAGTAGTGTACTTATTTCAGATATACTGTGGCTCAAACAATTGAAAGTACAAATTAGCTTTACTTGATTAATTGAACTTTCAATATAAATAACAAATTACCAAGAAATATAAACACATTCTTATTTTCACACATGACAAATATTCAGATTTAAAGGAAAATTGAAGGAAAACTTCTAAAATATGAAAGTTTTGGAAGCATTTCAAATATTTGTATGCAGATTCCTCACTTCAGATATTCAACACACGCATGAAATTTTTATATCTCGCGCATGCAAGAGTGTCAATATTGCGTGTCTTTTGTCTTTTATAGTGGCCTCTAAATGTCGTGGCACCAATTCTATTACGGCGTCACTTGACCATGGTTCAAAATTACGCGGTCCGTCGCCAAAAGCCCTCGTGTAGCTAAACCGTGCGATGCTAATATTCACTCACTAGCCAATTCTACGAACTTTTTGGTATCTGAAGATATTTTATCTGTTTTTTTCTTGCAACACTTGTTTTAAATGCATTTTGTTTCTATTCCTTTGAGCGAATAGAGTGTGGCCCACAGAGTTTCAATGACATTGATGGTGGAGGACTGTAGTGATGTGTATAACTACTGTGTTTACAATGAAACGGACACCACATTTTGAAGTTACATGCCGTGTGTTTGGGGTCGTTGTCCTGCTGGAAAATGAAATTTCAATATAAACCCAAATATAACCCTTTCCTTTAGGCTGTTTCAAAGTATATATACAAGTAAACCATATGGCTCATGTCATTTATAAAAACGAAATTTTCTACCCCGGATGAAGCCATATAATCCTAAACCATAACAGAGGCACCACCATGGAGAAATGTAGGACGCAAGTTTTTTTAGATCCAAAGATGTAATTGACTTCCTCCAACCAGTGAGATGGCCGTCTCTGCCAAAAAATGTGGAGTTTACTTTCATCCTTTATTATGACTTTCTTCCCCATATGTTATTTGCCTTCAATGGAGTCTTCAGTTCTTGCAAACTCTAAAGGCTTTTTCTGATTTTGCAAGTTGATGAACGGTTTCTTTAAAACAACTATAATTTTATATCCAACTTGTCTAATTACAGTTCAGAGTTTCAGCACTTATACTTCAGCCTATGATTTGAGAAGTTTCTGCAGCAAATTTGACTGCTTTTACTTTAGGATTAATCATATCTTTCAAAATTTTCATTTTTGTGACATCACTCAGAACAACTTTCCCTACTCTTACACTTATTTTCTATTAATCCTTTAAAATTTTATGATTTTTTTTCTGGACACAGTGTGGCTTCTACCAACAATTTCATCAGTTTCGCACTATAAGATTTTCCTACTGTAAATAAATACGAATTTCCTTACACTAATACTGGCTTCTCTTTGAAGAGACATTTTCCAATTAAAAGTTTGTGTAGATTTAAGCTCATCCGACAAACTTAATCACACAAAAATGATCGTTTAAAAGGCACAAAATAAGATTCCGCTAAATTAGATTAAAATACCAGTCAAGTAGAAAATATTTAGAGGTAGTTAAATTTTTATAAATGTATTCTCAATATTTTGAAGCAAAAAGCTGCATATGTTTCCTTAAAATGCATCTAAAACATTTCAGTTTATAAGTTTTTCGCGTTGATTTACTTTAAATTAAACCGTTTGTTATGAGTAAAAATAAAAACATGTTTGCCCTTCTCGATAATGTGTTATTTACATTGAAAGTTGAATTTATCAAGCAAAAAGGAAGGTGTATTCTCAATCTTTTGGTGGTCCTGTGAGTGGTTCGAAATAAAAGCATTGATCGTCGCATTGATGGCATTTCAAGTGATCTTACTTTTCGTGATAAAAAAAGAACCAATTCTAATCATATTCTTTAGCCCCTTTGATTAAAGTAAAGATATCTCGAAATCGTATCAATTTGTGATATTTATTCCAAGTGACAGAGAAATGAGTGATAAATCTTTTAAATTTAAAAGAATCTTATAAAGGAGTAGATATTTTCAAAGCAGTTAAGAAAATGTTAGCTTAAATACACAGCTGAGGTTTTTCTCGGATTAATACGACTAAGATGACGCTCTTATTTTAGTAGGTAAAAATATGAGGCAGCTGTAAAAATTACTTACAGATAAACTAAATCGTTGAGATATTAAAACCAATATTTTTAATTCACTGTTGGATATGTTTTGACATTATGATGGAAAGACTACAATTTTTCAATTCCTACTATTCGTTCACACTCGACCCTATATATATATAGGCGTACAACTTTGCTTCCGCTGGGTTTTTTCCCCAAAATTTGAGGCTTTATTGTAAAAAACTGGTTATACATTTATGATTCAATGTATTGTCCATCGCTGGCCACTACTTTCGTGGCAGCGTAGGAATCCCGCGTTGAGAAAACTTGTTATTTTTTGAAACGATCCACGAATCGATCCAATTTTTTACTTCATAAGACCGGAAGTGCTGGTCAGCCAGGCCGTGTGTCATTGATCGAAACAAGTGATAGTCCGAGGGAGCAACGTCTGGAGAATACGGCGGGTGGGGTAGGACTTCCCATTTCAACGATTCCAAGTATGTCTTGACCACTTTCGCAACATGAGGTCGAGCATTGTCATGCTGTAAAATCACTTTATCATGTCTCTCGTTGTATTGCGGCCGTTTGTCTTTCAATGCTCGACTCAAATGCACTAATTGCGTTCGATAATGATTGCCTGTGATTGTTTCAGTCGGTTTTAACAACTCATAATACACTACGCCGAGCTGGTTTCACCAAATACTGAGCATGACCTTGGAATCGTGATTATTCGGTTTGGCCGTCGACATGGAAGCATGGCCTGGATATCCCCATGATTTTCTGCGCTTTAGTTTATCGTAATGAACCCATTTTTCGTCCCCAGTCACAATGCGATGCAGAAATCCCTTCCGTCTTTGCCTTGCCAGCAGCTGTTCACAAGCAAACAAACGCTGTTCAACATCTCTCGGCTTCAACTCGTACGGCACCCAATTTCCTTGGTTCTGAATCCTTCCCATGACTTTCAGGCGTTTTGAAATGGCTTGTTGCGTCACTCCCAATGATCCTGCCAATTCTTGTTGCGTTTGACACGAGTCTTGATCAAGTAATGCCTTTAATTCTGCATCTTCGAAAACCTTCTCTCTTCCGCCGCCATGCTAGTCTTCGACGTCAAAATCACCGTTCTTTTGAAGCGTTGAAACCACTGTCGGCACGTTCTTTCACTAATAGTGGCCTCACCATAGATATTTGAGAGCATTCGATGAGCCTCAGCCGCAGATTTCTTCATATTAAAGCAGAAGATTAAAACCTCGCGCAAATGACGAGAATTTGACTCGTAATATGACATGTTTTATGAAAAATAACTTTATAATGCAGACACAATTCGACTAATATTTCGATGGCGTTATGTTTACAAATACCTAAGCTAATTGTATGACATCTACGATCTATTTATTTCGACTACCACTTACCGCTATAGCCATCTATTTCAAAACGGCGGAAGCAAAGTTGTACACCTAATATATATATAATGTAAAAAGTCGATGGGGCCGTTAGAGTGGTATTTCTAATATGATCGCTATTTTTGATTGAGGTTTTATTTTTGATGGCATTGACGAGGCAGTCCTTTGCTATAGTAAAATCAGTTTATTGTACATTTAACACATAGCGTTCCACATAACAAGAACCATACAAGAGACACAAAACACAAATACAAACCAAGCTGCAGCCGATTATATGACGAAAGACAAAACAGAAGAGAGGGAGGGTCTCCAGGAATCTTGGTGTGTGTATATATATATATATATATATATATATATATGCGGCTCAAATCACATGATCTGAGTGGGTTGATAGATGTAGTTCAAAATACTCTCGTTAGGCGGCTGGCTAACTTATTACTAAAGCGTTGGTCCAGAAGGAATAGACCATAGGTAATTAAAATATATTTATAAAAGGATTATATTTTACTGGTATTATTACATATGTATACATACATACACACACACACATATATATATAATATCTTGTTCAAACATTCAATCGTTAATAAAATACTTTCTATTTATCCATTTAAGTTCAAATACATTTTAAAAAACTTATAATGGATGATATTTGATCTTATTACAGTTTTTTCAAATATTAGTTCTTTAATTAAATTAAAAAATGAATAAATAGTAACAAACAAAAATAATAGTCCAGCAGCATATATAAAAAGGAAAATTGTTCATTGTGTCAACAAAGTGCAATGGATAACGTGTGGGACTTGTACTCCAAAGTTCGTGGGTTCGAAACCCACCTGAAATAGGCTAATTTCTGAGAATGTGATTTCTTTTTTACTATACTATTTTGTTAGAATAATTAAATTTAATGAATGAATATAAATAGTAACAAACAAACAAAAATAGTCCAACACCATATATAGAAAAGAAAATGGAAAATTACAAGGAAAATCTCGCTTTCTAATTTGTTACTTAATATTGTGATTCTGTCATACATATATATATATATATATATAAATATACCTTTTTATGTTAATTGTAACTATTCAATACACTAGTAACTAAAATAAAATGTTTCTTTGCTGACTGTGAAGTAGGAATTAACTTACATTTTTTTATATTACTTGTTTCAAAAATATATTTAATAATTTTATTAAAACAGCTAACACATAACACAACGAAAATATAATATTACCTCTATCCGATACCAAAGTAAAGGAAAACGCACACCATCTATTGTCATCGTACATACTCCTTATTTTTATATCTCCTATTGTCTTATCATTGTCCAGTCATTTACCTATTTTATATAAAAAAAAGTAGTTGCGTGGCGAGGACATTTCACTGCCTTCTTAATGTTTCAATATGAAGGAATCCACATTAAGATTTATAAAGTCGACAAAACAAGCAGTCCTTTCTGATTTAGACCTCAATGAGTTCCCTTCCTCTACAGATGGTTAAAGATATTCTTGTAAACAGTTTAGTTTAAGAAAACTAAAATATACAACATTTTTATATAATTAACCGAACTAAGTTGTCACTTAATATTTTAGTCACCAAATCTAAAAAAGGGATCTGAAATTAGTCACCAGATGCGGGATGAGATCTAAAAATGTAAAATCGTTAATCCTGATGATCTTGATCAGGACATTGGAAAAAATTATTAAATTATTGTATTTTTTTTTTTTTTGGTTCTGAACAAGTGAGCAAAATTTAGAATTAATCTGACCTTTTAAAGTGGGATAAAAACTGAGTCCAAAGAATCCGTTACATACAAATGAAGCTTATAAAAGGGTGTTAAAAATGCTGGTTTCAGCCGGACGATGCAAATGGCCACTGATTTACCTCGGATTACGAAATTTTTTAGTCGTGCTTTTTTTCTTTTCAACCCCGAGTAAGGTACGTCATAAAGCGTTTTCAAAGGTCCACGAGTTCTTTCATCTCTCGCAAAGTCATGCGTACTTGATTTGACATCATTGTGAATAAAGGTAGATAGATGTTTTACAATTGTGCTAACGTAGGCTTAGGTTGGAGATCTAGGAACGTAAGGCACAAATACTGCAGCTGAGTCATAGGAACACAAATTAATATTGTAAAATCCAGAAACTCGCTAGTGACTCGGACAACACAGATATACACCAGTGCTTCTCAAACTTTCACTATTCGCAATCCAGTATTGAATCGTAATTTTCATCGTACCCCCCTCCATGCAATAACTATGTATTGAATTTTATACTACTATTCTTTGCCGATAAAGCTACAATACGACTTTAACCTCTTAAGTGACACAGGCGTATATAAACGTCTCGCTCAGCCAAAGCATTAATTTTCTGGACGTATGTATACGTCTTTCCGAAGTACGATCTTTTCTGCACAATGCTGTCACTAAAATTATTCCGAAGGCTTTGGAAGGCAGTAAAATGACCTTGACAGTTTTTGCGAAGGAATTACTTATTTCGAAGGATTTGCTCTCCCCACTTACTTTTAATTCGCAGTTAAGATACTAATTATAAACCATACAAATTATTAAGATAAGTGTTTTAAAATATAAGCCCAAAGAATCACTGGTAATTATCAAACTTGTACAAACTTGGTATTGTTAAATTAATTATAAAATACATTGTACACAACTGATATATTTATAAGTGTTATTACATTAGTGTAAATGTGTATTTTATTTTTTATTATGAAAAATGTATTTTTACTTTCAGTAAATTAATATTTTTTTAAATAATCTTTTGTTTTCGAATTTTCTATATGCTCGCGCCCCCCTCGTAGAGTTATCACTCCTCCCTAGGGTGGCGCGCCATACGGTTTGAGAAACGCTGCCATACACTAATTCTGAGCGTGGTGCAAGGATATATTCCTTCAAAGCAGCTTGGAATATCAAGAATATTATTGGTTGAACATCAGTTCCACTGGAAGAACCAGAAAGCACATATTATTGCACATTTTAGAGTTCTGAAAGGTTTCGACTACACCGTTAGCTTTCGGATTACACCAGTGCTTCTCATTCTTTAAACATTTGCATCCCAGTTTTCAATCATAATTTTCATCGTACCCCTTTCCATACAATATCAGTGTATTGAATTCAGTAAAGTACTTTGAGGTTAAAGCTGCAATACGACATTAATTATAAACGTACAAATTATCAAGATAAGTGTTAAATTGTGTACATAATTTTGAATATGACAAACCCATGGAAGTAAGTAGTAATTATTAAACTTGTTCTTAACTATTTATTGATAAATTAATTATCAAATGCGTTGTGCAGTAACACATCACTCAATGAGTCGTGTCTTGACTAATAAAACAACTTTTAGGCAAAATTGAGCTTTATTTTTCAAGATACTCCCCTTCAAGAGTGATACATTAAGCCTAGGGCTCGTCTAATTTTTTAGTATCTTTTTCGTTGAACGATTTGTTTTAGCTCTCAAAATAGGCTTCGACTTCAGCAATTACATTTTCATTCGAACCAAACCTCTTCCAAAATGGCAATTTTTAAGGTCTGAAAACAGCCAGTAGTCACTGGGGGCAAGACCTTGACTGTACGGTGGGAGGGAAAATAATTCGAAGCGCAATTCGTTCAATTTGACCATCGTTTTCATGGACTTGTGACACGAAACATTGTCTTAGTGAAACCGCACCTTTACTTTTGCATTTTTTCTATATTTTTTCATTCATTTAATCTAATAACGCCATGTAATAATCACTATTATTTTTTTTTTGTCTTTCTCAAGGTAGTCAATAAACAAAATTCTACGTGTATCCCAATATATGGACACCATAACCTTGCCAGCTGTCGTTTGAGTTATGGGTCGCTTAGGACGGCTTTCACAGGCAGCTGTTCACTCAACTGACGATTTTTTTTATTCAGACGTGTAGCAATGGATCCATGTTTCCTCCATTGTCACATGTATGTATAACAAATCCTGTTTATTTCGCTTAAAAAGCTCCCAAAAACGCTCTGAATCGTCGATGCATTGTTGTTGATCGACACTGAGAAAACGTGGCACCCACTCTGAACACAGCTTTCTCATTGACAAATGATCATGCAAAATATTGAATATACAGCCTTCTGATATCTTTAAATCTTCTGCTATCTCATGCAACTTCAATTTATGATCGGCTCAGACAATTTTATGGACTTTTGTAATATTATCTAGAACAACTGCTAAATTTGGGTGACCTGAAAGTTCAGCATCGTTTGAGTCTGTGTGATCCCGTTTTAATTCTGCATACTACCTCTTAACCGCTGCTGGTGATGTAGCAGAGTCCGAATGACACTTATCAAGCCATTGTTTTGCATAAATATTGTTTTCTTCCATCAAAAAGCAATATTTAATAAACACACAAAATTCTTTTTCATCCATGGTTTCTAAGCAAACAAAAGTTGCTTGACTAAAACCACTGTAACTTTTATAAACTAAACACGATATTATCACTAAATTTTGACTCGTGTCGTTTGAAAGTTAGTCCTACTAAGTTAGATTTAGGAAAACTAGAAGGGAGCGCCATCTATATGTTAGGTCCAAGATTTAATGAGTGATGTGTTACTGATACATTTATAAGTATACTTGCCGTTAACCACCCGCTTCGCTGGGTATTCCATGATGTTTTATAAATTTATACTGTTTATGTATATGTGTATAAATTATTGATCAATAAGTCCTAGCATTAATAATTAGATTGTATTGAAAAATATACATATAACTGTAACTGTCACCTCTTGATAAAAAAAGAAAAAGGGTAGAACCCATCTAATTTGTATTTTCTAAAAATCTCTAAAATTGAAGTATAGAATGATGTTTGCTCTTTCGTAACCCAAAAACCAAATGGATTCCCGCAAAACCAATTTACGATGGATCTCTACTCCGTAAATTGAACATGCAAGCCAAACTTCAAATCTAAATCTGATAGAGCAAAAACAAAATTTTTATTCTCAATCCCCTCCGAAATCCCGTTGAGAGTCGTTCTCCAAGATAACACTTCTAATCGGATTTCAATTCAACAAAAGAATAATCTAAACTAAATTCAATTATTTTAGTCCTTGTAGTTCGAAAAAAGGATTTTTTTTTGTCAATACGTCCCAGTAACCCCCTGCCCCCCCCAGAAGTTGATTTCTGTAAAATACATTCTTAGTGGATCCCTATTCAACAAAAGAAACATGATTAACAAATTTCAAGTATATGGGTCTAACAATTAGAAACAGGAATTTTTTCCTATAACTTCTCTTAACCCCTCGCAACCCTCCTTGGGAAGGGGGGGGGGTAAATTTTTCTTTTACTCTTTGTTAAAAGAACTCTATTCCATGACAGGAACATGCCTACCAATTTTCAAGCAGTAAGATCTGATAGTTTAAAAATGGAAATATTTATCGATTACGCCCCTTAATCTCCCGAAATTAAACTTAGTAGTTGATACTCGCGAAACCCATTTGGTAACGGTTCTCTACTTCACGAAAGGAATCTGTTTATCAAATTTCAAGACTGTAGTCTAATAATTTAAAAATGGGGATAGTTATCCATAACTCCACTTGAGCCCCCGCAACGCCACTTGGGGATCTGTTTTCACAAAACCCATTTTGTAGGGGAACTGTACACTATGAAAGGAATCTTCTTACCAAGTTGGAAGACTGTGCATCTAATAAATTAAAAATGCATAAAAATTATCAATAACGCCCCTTGAGCCTCCGCAACACCACCTAGGAGTCGATTTTCACAAAATACATTATATAGGGGATCTTTAATCCATAAAAGGATTCTGATTATCATATTTCAAGACTGTATATCCAGTAGTTCAAAA